AGGGCGAGTTGCAGTTGGTTCGAGCCATCTAGGGATGGAAGTTTGGATTACGTAAATGAGCATCTTGTGGTGCGCCATTTTCGAGAACAATTGCCCGCAGAACCCATGCACTACGTCTTCGAACCTTTCTCATCGAGTAAGGGTTTGCTTCGGGAAAATGTAGGACCACTCCATGGCCTTAACCAATTTCCCATTCTTTGACGTGGATCTCCGTCAACAAGCTGGTCAACTAAACGATCAATCGAATCCAATAAATCATCCGCGCTTACGCTTCCCATAACCCACTATTTGAGTTGGCGCTGTTTGTCGACGGGGGGGGGGGCATTTTGCACTATCATTGCTTCCTCAGTTCCGGTTTACATGTCTCACTCTGGCGAAACCTGTGAACTCTTGTGAAGCTGGAACAAGGTAGTCAAGCCATCATGTTAAAACCTGTCAACTCGAGAAGAGGCTGTCTAGATAGGCCGACACGTCGATGGGAAGTAGCAAAAGTGCAAAATGCCCCCCCCCCGTCGACAAACTGCGCCTTTGAAGTTTCATAAAGGTGACAATGTCTTCGGCATAATTCCAAAGGGTTCGCGGTGAGAAGTTAGTTGTTGATTGCGGGATTGAGCCGCCAGGAAATCTCAAGTACTGTAGCCGCTATGAAAGCGGGCCCTACTGGTCGGTCAACAGGCATCCGAAGAGGATCTTCTCTTCCACGCCTCCATGCGAAGTACCTTTGGAGATAGTTGCTTGCAAACTTTCGTACACAAACGACCTGAAATAGACTCACAATGTCGCATCCACTTCCAATGGAAATATCCTGGCTTGTCCATGATGGTTGCTTGCCTATATACGACCAACACCCCGTCCCTCGGTAGAAACGAAGACGGTTATTCCCGCTCGGATTTTCCTGGAATATTTAGTAGAGTAATAATAACTTGCTTATCTATATGGAATAATGGATGCTGTGCTTGCAACGTTGAATATTTGGCGATCAAATTACAGGCTGCTCTCTGATGGTAAGTGGCATAGTAATGCAAGATTGTTTTTTTTTGTTGTCGTTAGAGGCGCTGTTTTCTAACGAAGGGGGGGGGGCTTTTGTAGAATCATTGCTTTCTCAGTTCCGATCTGGCGAATCCTGTAAACCCTTGTGAAGCTGGGACAATGGGGTAGGTGCAGTGGAAAGTGATCCGCTCACGACTAAGGATAAAATTACAGAAGATGAACTGTGTTCATCACAGAATTTCCTGAAGAACAAAAGCCTTGACAGAAGGAACGACGAGCTCTCAGAAATACCAGACAAAGGGTCGAGATGTGTCGTGATGGCTACGCCCTTAGAACGCATCGCCTCGCTGGAATGAGTGAGCGATTGGTCTCGCCCGAGTGTGCGCCATGCATTCTGCAGTTCTTCAGTATGAGTGCAACTACTTCTGAACAATGGACTGTTGAACTAACCGAGGATCTTTCGCAAGGAAAGTTTTACATATGATTGCGCACGTAAATGTTCATAAATTCCATACTTCAATGGTTTTCGTTTCACAAGAGTGCTGAATGAAGGGCAAAACTTCGGCATTACGCAGTACTCGAACCGGCATCTTCCGTTGACCGGTCATTGGCTTCAAGGGTAATAGCGGTACCGGTGGCGTATAATCTGAATAGACGCCACTATTCGCGTTAGCGGCGAGTGCGGTGTTCGAGTCCGCGCCTGTGTGTCCGATGTTGGCCCTTAACCCCCGGCACTCCGCCTGATAAATTTCGCAAAGTGCAACTGCTTACGTTAGTACGCAGTTATTAAATCGGAGATTCGAAGCGATTGCCACGCTGGGACTGGAGTACCATGTTCTCTAGCATTCACTGTGTGTTCAGCTTATGTGTGTTTTTGGCTTCGAAGGCAAGAGTAGAGGGAAAAGCTGCTGATGCATACACACCAGCTTTCGCACGAGTCGGCCGTGATTGTTATTGGTGATACACAGGTGTACTCCAGTTCCTTGAGATGCGGTAGACGTGAACTCTAAGATCAGTTACTGGCAACGGGCCTTCGTCCAACACAAAACAGGATGACAGCTCTCTCAAATTAGAACATCGCCTGAATAACCTATGTTATCCCGTGTTCAGTTGAGGCCGCTGGGTAGCGGCAAGTGGCCCGCTAACCACGCTTGCGGTCCGGGTATCATATCCCGGTTCGGCTCCCGGCCAGGCCAACCAAGCCTTCTACCTTCCAGGGACGGCGAAGTAGTACCAGTACCAGATTCGTCTAAGAGGGTAATAGCAATGAACTGAACATCGGTTAGCCCCCGCAAATTCATTATGTATGGCACATCGCAGTTAATTAACGTACACGATTTGAATAGAAGTAGAATGGGCGTGTCGACCACCCCAAAAAAGGATTGAGTGACCAGCGTAAAAACTTATCCTTTTTCTCCCGAGTTCAAGTTGAATTACGCAGCTACGACCTACACTCTCTAGGGTTGTTGTAGAGTAGTTATAAGGATGTATAGTTAGTTAGTTAAAAGCTGTCACTCACTTGGAAGTTCATGCAAGTGTTTGTCGTCCAGAACTGAATGGCCTTTGCCCGCGGCCCCGGGATTAGTGAGACAGTGCTGCTTGCTGAAAACCACCTATGTGTGTCATATTCTTCACTCATAAACCTCATATGGTCGGCCTGAAGCCGAGATCGTAGCATGGGCACATACCCATATTAGCATAGCATCATATACACGTTAATCAGAAATGGAAAAAAATGTGAACAACTTACGTAATGAGCTGTCGAGGGTGTAGTATATTGGATAACTTGGGCTCCAGAAACCTGCTGGATTTGTTTGCGCCCTCTTTTTGCGAGACGCCTGCGGTTCTGAAATCACCATACTCAGGACGCAATACCTCATTCCTTCGTACAGAATGGATGAAATACCGCCCACATAATGACAGCCCGCCGTTTCTATGTAGATTGTGTCAGGCTTGTGAAACAGTGAGACCAGCACAAATTATGTATGGGTCGAATAGAGAACAGAGAATCTAGTCCTATAACCCTCGTTCTCGGGGAGTGCTAGTCAAGTGAGTTCGACTTACGTTTTGGCCTTTTTGTAAATGCAAAGACAAGTCAATGATCCTGTCAGTATTTCTCCTTCTTAAGTGACCATTTTCGATTAGCCGGTTCCATTGTCGTGGAAAGGTTTTTAAGTGAGTGGGTGAGATCTGACCAATTTATTCAATTTATAGGACAACAGCTCATAGCGGCTCTACTTTAGTTGATCATATTCATTCCACAACGATCATTTGGTTCACGAATTTGGACTACGGGAAAGTAGATTGCTATAATAGTCCAACACGTTGTCGCTTGTGGTCACATGACAAGCAAGGATGTGAGCTGGAGGATCATAACCACGTTGCGCACGCAGCGTTTTCTTACTGCCAACTGCGGTATAAATAGCAGTAGTTTATAAGGACTGAAGAGAGTGAGCAATAGTTCAGAAAGGCTATTTCATCGCCGTCCTTCTTCTTCTAATGACAAGCTGCGTTCGCGGAATCCTCTCAACGCTACTCTAACCAAGGCGTCCGCTGCAGTGACTGTGACTCCAGTAAGGTCCTTCCGGACGACGTCCTTCCATATCTTCCGTGGGCTTATTGTGAACCTACACCTACACCTCACCCTCTAGCGTTCCAGGGGACCGTCCATCACAGAGGATGATAGTGGACTCTCCAATTCATACATTTTATTTATACTGGAGTCATTACCACCTGGTCCACGCTACGTTCAGCGATTCGATTGATTCCCAGTTAACAGTAATCTATATCTTTGTTAGCCTCCCTAGTAGCGGTCTGCGCTATTTCATCGCATTTTTTGTATGCTACCAAGAGACAACAACACATTCAACGGCGACGGTGGCAAAAAAGGTTTCGTATATGTCGAATTCAGGCGTCAAATCTAAATCGTCAAATCTAGCGCGACTGTGGCCTGGAGCAATAGCACAGAGAAATCGTAATGCCCTCACAATGACTACACAGCGTCAATTACCATAGAGCGAAACCGCCTGACCAGATGAGCCTTGAGCACTGTGTCGGCTGCCATACCTTTCAAGAAATTATGCTTGAAAAGCGCTTGCTAGAGTTTTATGACCCATGGAACGATCACTGAAAGATATCATTTGCTTCAAAAACTATCATCATACCATTCTGTCCGCGTACGATGGCCTTGGCTTGATCCGGCGTTAGCGCTATGTCTCCCTCAAACAGCCATTCAGCGAGATCTGGATGGGCTTCAGCTGACAAATCCGTGAAGGTTGTTCTTTGAGCCGAGATCAGGAAGTGGTGGAGGTGTCTAAAAATTCGAAGAAGATTAAGAACTAATAAGAAAGTGCGTTCCAGAATGAGAATACCGTTGTTGACCCCGATCCAGTGCCAGCTCGATGTAGATTGCGTACACGGAGATTCAGCGAACCAAGCATGTCCTTCACAAGCTTGCGATTTTCGAATGTGTCGGGACTGCCCTCATATATCAGTTTCCTTTTGATCTAGAATCACCACTTGTGAATTTTACTGTATATTTAGGCCGACGTGCTGCATAGATATTTGGCCAGTGGTGCCCATTCATATGTTCCAACAATGCCTGTACTATTAGTGGAGATCTCTCAACTTATGGGTTTTCCGAAAGGTCACTGGGAATTCCTACGAAAGATAGAGTCATTATTGAGTCGGGCCAGGATTTTGCTTGAGGTCTGATTCCTCGATCTACTTGAGATTACAATTTTTTAGAAATGCAGAAAATTAGTACCTCCTCATCGGTTGGAGCTGCCCTACAATAAACAAGTAGACATAATAGAAGTGAGAGCAGCATGGTACTACGAAAAAAGAGTCTTTCATCGTCCTTATATACTGCTATTACAGTAAAACCTATAGCGGCTAGGATTATTAAAATATTACTGGCATGAGTACTATTGCTTCTATCAATTTTACTAGTAAAATCACGGAGCCGCTATGATGAACCACTTCGCCTCCACCGATTGGTAGATGCTTGTCCTAAAAACATATTATGGTGGTTAAGAAAGGATACGAAATATTTATGCAGCACTTCCTCATCCATTCATACAGTATCAGCTCATTTTCCGAACATATGATCCAAGTTTTTGAATTTGGTGGCCCCGTGACACACTCATGATGTTGAACAACAATACGGAGAGTGTCAGCGTGAATCTGGCTAACTGCTTATAAAATTTGTCAACAATAACGCAGTAGTCTCGTTTTCGTGATCCTGAGGGCATGCTCAAAACGGCTGCATTGAATGGACGCACAGCAGCGGAGGCTTCTACACGAAAAAGGACTAGTGTGACGATTTGTGCATTTCCCATCCCACAGATGGGACTTACAGGCTGTCTCATGATGGACAGAGACATGATTACTGTTGCCGCAGAACAATTACGTTCCCCTTCCCCCTTCATTGCCCGCAAACGGCAGCTGCCGCCGCGTCGCGTCCACTTAGAGTAAGCAGCAACATCCATTTCACTTCGGGATATGTGGCGCACTTTCAGCTGAGCGACGCGTGCAGCCGAAGCTCACATCAATGATCTGGTGGCCCACCAGGATTATCACGTTCTACGTCATCTGAACCGGGACAAGATGGCACAGCTCGCGATGCCGTAGAAGAAGTATTTCATGCATACTACAGGCTGGTGCTTCCCTTTTAAAGCAAGTTTCCTCTCACTACAGCGTACGGAAAAGAATGGAATGAGCAGTGTGAAGGGCTGTCTGCGCTTATCATGATGAACCTCACCATTCATGGTGACTCGCACTTCTGAAACCCCGGCTCTCTACGCTGGACATGGATCCTGTTGAACAATTTCATGGTGAGATCGACCACATCAAAGGCAGTGCCCGCGATCAATTGAAGTTTCCTTCCCCTTTTGTGAGCAGGTAGACTGGTGTGCAAAGGCAGCGACTATACCATTTTCGCAACGCAAAAGCGGGTGAGGAAGCCGACGATGCCGTCGTTCCTCCCATTGGCTCAACCCCATTTCATTGACCCCACTCCGCTCTCTCCCCGTAACAACAGAAGACCTGCCAAAGGACATAGGTGGAGATATTGTAGTAATAAAAAATCAGCTGTGATCCATTGCGGCGACCAAATCGGCCACAACATCACTCGCCCGGTGATCTCGAAAGATCACATCCTTTGACCGCGCTCTGCTCGTTCAACTGTGAGCGGATCCTTGAGTACGCGAAAGTCCGTAACCTGGTCATCGTGATCAGAAAATACCGTAAACGTGAGTCCCATCACACCGGCTTCTACAGTGGCATTACCAGGAGGCCGATCGACTTTGTCCTTGTTGCACATCACGACCAAGGCTTATCATAGATGCGAAGACTATGCCGTACGAGACAGTTGCCACGCAACATCGCCCACTAATTTGCACGCTGAAGATCGCAACGCCCAGGTCCAAACGGGTCGAGCGATGTGGTCCCGAGAGGATCAAATGGTGGCATTTGAAAGAAAAGAAAGCAGCTGTAATCTCTCGTATTCGACTTCCCACCGTCACGACTGTCGATTAGACCTGGATGATTGCCAAAGCGTTACATCAGAAGGCTCATTTCGAACGTGGCATCACGAAGCCTGGAAGGCGCAGAATTGATACGTAGCCGTGGTTGTGGACCGACAGTGTAAAAATAAACGGTTCACTAGAAGAGGAGTCGCTACCGTTTTCCTTGAGAACAAGTCCGCTAATAGCTGGCAAAGGTACAAAGACGTGAACTGCAGTGAAGAGGGTGTGGCTGCTGCGAAAGCCGGTCTTTCCGAAGATATCAGTAAGGAGTTGGATTTACGCGATGAAGAGCGGCATTTTTACCGAATTGCCAAAGATCGGCATCGTCAGACAAGAGCCGTGGCCGTCTTTGAAGGACCAGACGAGGGTGCTGAGGAGGTGACACTACTTCTTTGAGAATATTTGAACAGTAGGGTATG